ACATTGCATTAGGCAAATCTGCTGCACAAGTTTGAGGGCTAAGATGTGCCTGACCCAAGTTATGGTATTTTCAATACTTCATATGAATGTGAAAGTTGGACAGTGGATAAGGAAGACTGTAGAAGAATTGATGTGTTTAAATTATGGTATTAGAGAAGAATATTAGAAGTACCATGGACTGCTAGAAGAACAAACAAATCTTTGTTGGAAAAAGTACAGCCAGAATGTTTCTTAGAAGCCAGGATCTGAGACTTTGTGTCTCGTACTTCGGACGTATTATTAGGAGGGACCAGTCGCTGAAGAAGGACATCATTCCTTGTGAACTGGAGGGGCAGTGAAAAAAAGGAAGACTTCCTAATGAGATGGATTGCACAGTGCCAGCAGCAGTAAGCTCAAGTGTAGTGATTGTGAGGATGGCATAGGACCAGACAGTGTTTGGTTATGCTGTGCATTTGGATTGGAACCAACTGGATGGCATCTGGCAACACTATTGCTGTTTGAGTCCTCATGTGGTTCTGTTGGATGAGCACTGGATTGCTGTCCACAAGGTTGGCAGTTCAAACCCACAAGTCGCTCCTTGGCAACACTATACAGAGTTGCTATGAGTCAGAACCAGTTTGACAGCACTTAACAACTATTGCTGTTCAGTGCCTTCTGGTTGTTTCCAAGTTATAGATACCCTGCATAGGGTTTTCATGGCTGTAAATCTTAAGCAGTGCAGCAAGTCTCTTCTGTCTCTCATGGAGTGACTGTTAGTTTGAACTGCTGATTTTGTGGTTAGCAGTCCATTGCTTATCCTACACTGCCGCCAGAGCTCTAAGAAGGATCCTTCTTCTTGTTGTTAAGTGTCATAGATTTGGTTCCAACTCTGAGGCATCCTTTATAGGGTTTCCAAAAAGAGAATGGTGGGTTTGAACCACCAGCTTTTCAGTTAGCAGTCCAGCGCTTATCCTGCAGCACCACGCAGGGATTCCTGAGGGATCCTTACTAGGGGCTATTTTGCTTTGATAATTTGGGTATGGTGGTGGTGGTGGTGGTTGTGTGCCGTGGAGTCGGTTCTGACTCATAACGACCCTGTACAGGTTTTTGAGGCTGTAAATCTTTACAGGAGCAGAAAGCCTCATCTTTCTCCCATGGAACTGCTGATGCTGAAATTAGCAGCCTGATTCATAAGCACTATACTACCAGAGCTATGTGTCTATAAATATCAGTAATGTTGTAGGGAGCCCTAGTTGCATAGTGGGTTAAACATTGGACTGCTAACTACAAGGTTGGCGTTTCAAACCTCTCCATGGGAGAAAGGTGAGATTTTCTGGTAGCGTAGTGGTTACGAATCGGGCTGCGAAC